GGTACTGGTACAACAGATACACAGACCAGTGGAACAGAATAGAGAATCCAGACGTAAATTCATTCACCTATGAGCAGCTGGTATTTGACAAAGGCCCAAAGTCCATTAATTGGGGAAAAGACAGTCTGTTTAACAAATGATGCTGGCATAACCGGATATCCATCTGCAAAAAACTGAAACAAGACCCATCCGTCACACCATGCACATAAATTAACTCAAAATGGACCAAAGACTTAAATATAAAATCAAAAACGATTAAGACCATGGAAGAAAAAATACAGAGAACGCTAGGAGCCCTAATGTATGGCATAAACACAATACGAACCATAAGTAACACTGCACAAGCACAGGTAGAAAGACTAGATAATTGGGAGGTCCTAAAAATCAAACACTTATGCTCATCAAAAGACTTCACCAAAAGAGTAGAAAGACAACCTACAGACTGGGAAAAAATTTTTGGCTACAACAAATCCGATCAGTGTCTAATCTCTAAAATCTACAAGATATGCAAAACTTCAACAACAAAAAGACAAATAACCCAATTAAAAAATGGGTAAAAGATATGAAAAGGCACGTTGCCAAAGAAGATATTCAGGTGGCTAACAGACACATGAAGAAATGCTCACCATCATTAGCCATTAGAGAAATGAAGATCAAAACTACAATGAGATATCAGCTCACCCCAACAAGACTAGCATTAATCAAAAAGCAAAATAATAAATGCTGGACAGGTTGTAGAGACTGGAACACTTACACACTGTTCATGGGAATGTAAAATGGTACAAGCACTTTGGAAAATCGATTTGGCACTTCCTTAAAAAGCTAGAAATAGATGTACCATACGATCCAGCTATCCCGCTCGTTGGAATATATCCTAGAGAAATAAGTGCTGTCACACAAATAGATATATGCACACCCATGTTCATCGCAGCACTGTTCACAATAGCAAAAAGTTGGAAATAACCTAGGTACCCATCAATGGATGAATGGATAAGCAAATTATCGTATATCCACATAATGGGATACTACGCAATAATAAAAAACAACGATGACGCTGTGAAACATAACGTGAAGGAATCTAGAGGGCATTATGCTGAGTGAATTTAGTCATTCACAGAAGGACAAATATTGTATAAGACAACCATTATAAGAATTCAAGAAAAGGTTTAAATACAGAAGAAAACATTCTTTGATGGTTACAATGGTGGGGAGGGAGGGAGAGGGTTATTTACTAACTAGACAGTAGATAAGAATTATCTTAGGTGAAAGGAAGGACAGCACTCACTACAAGGGATGTCAACACAACTGGACTAAACCAAAGCTAAGAAGGTTCCTGAATACAATCAAACATTTTGAGGGACAGAGTAGCAGATGTAGGGGTCTGGGGACCATGCTTTCAGGGGACATCTAGGTCAACTGGCATAACAAAGCTTATTAAGAAAATGTTCTGCATCCTACTTTGGTGAATGGCGTCCGGGGTCTTAAAAGCTTGCAAGCGGCCACGTAAGATGCATCAATTGGTCCGAACCACCTGGAGTAAAGGAGAATGAAGAACACCAAAGACACAAGGAAAGTAGTAGCCCAAGAGACAGAAAGGGCTATATA